ACCTGGGGGGCTGGGTAGACGGCAAACTCAAGTTTTGATTTCTTGCCATAATCAACAGAAAGTCTCTCCATCAGCAGGGAGGTGAAACCTGAGCCAGTGCCTCCTCCAAAGCTGTGGAAGATTAGAAATCCCTGCAGACCAGTGCACTGATCAGCCTGAAAAGAAAATTGATTATTAAATTAGATTTATTAAAATTGCATGAGGGCTTCATAATCAATACTACTGTATAGAATCAGAAACTGACCAGTCACCACTCTGATCACTCTGGAGAGATTAAAATATTGTTAAATGCAAAAACGAATGTCTCAAAGCAATCACCAGTTTACGAGTCCGGTCCAGAACTAGGTCAATGATCTCCTTTCCGATGGTGTAATGTCCACGAGCATAGTTGTTGGCAGCGTCCTCTTTTCCTGTAATCAGCTGCTCAGGGTGGAACAGCTGGCGGTAGGTTCCTGTACGCACCTCATCTATAAAAAGGACAATTAAAGATTAGAGTAAGATATTATGCCCCTATGTGAAGAATGCCCTTAGATAATAGTAGTTAATAATTGCTTAGTTAAATATTTGGAAGTATAACAGTTGTAACATGTTCTAACATAAAAATGAATACATTTCATTTTCATATAAATTTGAATGTGCACAAGTTTAAATGAAACAAACAATGATGTGGATAACACTGACCGATGACAGTGGGTTCCAGGTCGACAAAGATCGCTCTAGGAACGTGCTTTCCTGCTCCTGTTTCACTGAAAAAGGTGTTGAAGGAGTCATCTCCTCCACCAATAGTCTTGTCAGAGGGCATCTGTCCATCAGGCTGGATCCCATGTTCAAGGCAATACAGCTCCCAACATGCATTGCCCATCTGGGCTCCGGCTTGGCCGACATGCATAGAAATACACTCACGCTGAAGGAAAGAAGGGAAATGAATGTTGTTATCAAACATACTTTTACTATCCAGATGTAAATGTGTTACTGAACGCATGAGCATTAGAAGTACTGCCTGTATCCAACAGTGATAGCTTAGAAATAACTATCAGGGTTGAAAAGTATGAGAGCATAGAACATCTTTTGTATTCTCATACACAATGGTGTCAATGTTCATTGTTTGAACTTCATGTCTTTTGTATGACGTCTGCTCTCAGTCCACCGAGGAAGTGTTTCAGTTGAAAAATAAACTTTGACTGCTCAACACTGTCTGTATGTTTGTGAAAACCTACACAGGCACGGCAGCGTTCAGGTTACAGTAAGACGCATAGTGATCCAGATGAACTGCAGCTTTGGTTATATGTAGGGTTAGGATTATATACATATATATATATACTGTATATAAAGTTTGTCAGTACGTGTATGACAGGAAGTCAATGACTCAAGAAAACCTTCGCAGTCCTCTCCATCCTGTATGTCCTCCCTGTCCTCACTCCTCCCTTTTGTGCCCCTCTCCTCCCCATCCTGTCCAGCTGCATAGAGCTATAACAGTCAGGGATCTCTCTCCTCTCTCTCTCCCTCCCTCCCTCTCTCCCTCCCTCTCTCCCTCCCTCCCTCCCTCCCTTTCTCTCTCTCCCCTCCTCCTTCTCCTCCTCCTCTCTCTCAGACTAAAATCTCCTGCTGACAGCTGCATAATGGTCTCTCTCTCTCCTCCTCCTCCTTTCTCAAACCAAAAACTCCTAACAGCTGCAAAATGGCTGCCAGCTAACTCATACTGCATGGGCCAGACCACTCCTCTTTTCTCTCTTCTTCCTATCCATCCCCCACTGCCACGATTACCCCGGTCACTCCCTAGCAGCCACAAAAACTCCTCAATTCCTCAGCAAACACACAATTGCAATCCCTCTTACTTGTTCTCTAGGGTAACATATTGTTTGTTTTACAATTAGCTGTAGTATATCAAACAAGCACAAATGTGTCAGAGCAGTCAAACTCTTAAAGTAACTGAATTCTGACCCAGACTGTTGAGTTTGATTCCATAAATTCAGCTCAAACAACCACAGTCATCTGACAGGATAATGTTGCTTTTCTCTCAGTAACCTTCAACTCCACTGTGTGGAGAACTGTGTGCGTCACACAAGCCTACTTGTGTGATCCATCTAATGCTGAGAAGCAGAGACAAGAGAAGGATGAAGTTAAGAGGGTGAAAAAAAATCTCAAGGCGACGTCACCACCCAAGCAATTACTCACCATTGTGTCTGCTTGTCCTTCGACTGACGTTGAGGATTCAGACTCAGGGCAAAAGTGTGGAGGAGAGGGAGAGTCAGGGTTTATATAGGCAAGGATGTGGAGGGGGCAGGCAGGAAACCACAGCAGGCAGCTGCACAGCTCATTGGCGAGAGGGAGCAGCAATAAAAAAAAAAGAAAAAAGAGGGAAGTGCCTTTTACTGTGTCATGCTATCCACCCTTACTTTTATCTTCTTTGTCTTTCAGTTGGATATTAGAGGCCTACGAGTAAAAAACTGCCCTCTGTCTTTACCCCTGTGGTTCATCTGCCCTATTTTGTCAATTTGTGTGTTTGTTTGTGAGTGTAAGTGTTCATAGTAAGTGTTTGTTTAATCACATACACAGCTTCCATGCATTTTTATTTAAGGAAACTGACCAGTAAAAGGTCATAGGTTGCCTCCGAACATTTCTCAACATACAGTTTATCCATATGACACAGACTGGGGGCTAAAAGAGTGATTATACTAATCTTATACAGCATCTGCACCCACACACTCAGCAGAACACACACAGCCCACCCTCTGTCTGTATTAAATAGTTAATGAAGAATGAGACATGTTGGAGCCTTCATGTAAAATCTTTATTGTTGATCGTCAAATGCGAAAGATACTTTTTTTAATGGTGAGATAAGAAAATGGTGAGCAGGAAGAACAGTTAAATCAGCTCATTTAGAATACACAAGAGAATCATCACATTAGAGACCAAAACAAGAAAATCTGAAAAATGTCAAGGCCAGTTTTCTACTTCTTGTTGGTATCATTTTTCAACAGCACTCTCTGGATCACAGAGATGTTATTCACACAGTAACTTGGATCCTATTGTTCCTGCAGGCCCCTGTCTGGGTATGAGCTACACAAACAACACCAGTCAGTGGGTTAGTCAGTTATTCTCTGTCTTCTGCGATCGCAAAGTCACAGCTGAATGGCATATACAGACTGACATAGGAGCTCTTTCATAACTTACATTCCACATGAAGAGGGATAGTGGGGGGAGGAGCACAAAAGGGAGGGTTTGATCCAAGCTTCTCAGTGTGAAATTGCAGAAACAAAAAGGCCCGAGACAAGATAGGTCTGACTTTATTTTAATACACCTTTTCATCACAGTACCATGAGAAAGGATTGTATTTAATGTGATCCTTGTGTTTCAAACTTTTACTAATATTAAGGTGTTTGGATAAAATTTTGGAGGTTTGTCAGGAGAATAAGAGAGATAAGGAGAATGTGTATCACAGAATCTTTTGATTGGATAATAATAGGGATTTATTTAAGTATGACTTGACTACAAACACCAATGGACCAATTTTGAAAATAGGGATATTAATCAATCTACTTTTGCAAAGGTCAATATTCTTCTCCGTCATCCTCATCTGCCATGTTATCAGCACCCACCTCTTCATAATCCTTCTCTAGGGCAGCCATGTCTTCTCTGGCCTCTGCAAACTCCCCCTCTTCCATTCCCTCCCCAACATACCAGTGGACAAAGGCCCTCTTGGCGTACATGAGGTCAAACTTGTGATCGAGACGCGCCCAGGC